GCCGTCATTGGCTGTGCCTCCAAGGCTCTGGACCTGCTCATGGACAGTAACGCCATTGTTCAGTCTATGGCAGCCAAGACCCAGCGGTGTGGTCCCTGGCAGGGTTGGGGAAGGCTGGGGTGGGGGAGCTGGTGAGGACTGCCCCTCTGTGCCTGCCCAGCCCCATAGCTCCATGCCTACTGGTTCTGCCTCTGCCCACACCACATTCCTAGCAGGCTGCACTGGGGCTCACCTCAGCTCTCTTAGCCATGGGCTGCCTGTCGCAGCCTCTTTCTTCCATTGCTTGGCACATGTCTCAGTGAATGACCCTGTGTCTCCTGATCTTGGGCAATCCTGTCTGCTTGTTCCTCTGCCTGGCTCTCCATCTGACTCTCTGGGTCTACATCTCTATCTTTGTTGGTCCTCCCTGCAGACTTGGGCACAGATCTTGGGTCACATGCCCATCAGGAGCAGGTGTGAATGCTCCATAGGCCCCCCAGCAACCTGTGACACCTGCTTGTGCCCACAGGTTCCGCAGTAAGATGGAGGCTGCTGGCTTCACCATCTCAGGAGTCAATCACCCCATCTGCCCTGTGATGCTGGGTGATGCCCGGCTGGCCTCTTACATGGCAGATGACATGTTAAAGAGAGGTAAGGGAACCAGGCACAGAGAGCCTGGCTGTAGAGAAGAAGGGGAAACCCCTAGACTGAATACTCTCCCTTTCCCCCAACCTACTACCCCTCTCTTAGACCATTTGTCCGTCCAAGCTTGAAAACTCCAGGCCATGAGGCAGTCCCATCTGAGGGGCCTTGCTCAGCCTCCTTGCCCTCTGTGATCCTCAGGAAAGTGGGAGCTATATGTCGTGCCCCAAAGCCTGCTTGGCTCTAGTGAGCCCCAGGTTGACCCCTTGCCTTCCCAGGCATCTTTGTCATCGGGTTCAGCTACCCAGTGGTTCCCAAGGGCAAGGCCCGGATCCGAGTCCAGATCTCAGCAGTGCACAGCGAGGAGGACATCGACCGCTGCGTGGACGCCTTCGTGGAGGTGGGGCGGCTGCACGGGGCACTGTCCTGAGCCCTGGGTAGTGACAAGCAGAGCCACAGTCTCCCTCGCTCCATAGCGACAAAAGTCCAGAGGCTCTGAGCCCCGTCAAAGTCCTGGGGTTGGGCTGGGGCAAGTCCTGTGCTTGTGGCTGTGAGTGAAGCAACTGTGGACATTGGCTGTGACGTGTTGGTCTGCTTTGTTCTCTCTGAGCAGGTTGACCTGCTCTCTGACTGGTTGGAGAAGCAGGCAGAAGCTGGGGCTCTGCAGGCAGGCTCCTGAGGACTGTGGTAGACTTCAGAGCCGACCACCTCCCCCAAATTAAGACCCAGGCAGCTGGGGTAATATAGTAGGGGACATTGTCTGGCTCAGCTGGGTTCTGTGCTGCTGTAAAGGGCAGCTGAGCACCAGCCCTGCGGGCCCTTTCCTACACCACGCACCCCCTACTCTCCACAGCCTCCAGAGTCTAGCTTTGGTGAACACCTCGTCCTGTGCTCCCCATCCAAAGGATGGCCTACAGCTGCCCACATAAGAAGGGGCTTGTCACCCAAACCCATGTTTGGGAGGAGGGGCAGAGGATTCAGGCCCCAAATGAAAGAACGTGGGTCACTACTGGAGAGACACCTGACGGTCTGGAGCCCTGTGTTCTAGCCACCTTGTCCCTGATTCTGTGGCTCTGGGCAGGCCCCATCCCCTGTGTATGCCTCAGTTTCCCTCGCTGTACCAAGCGTGGGTGTTATGTTGATGGCTGGGGCCCTTCCATCTCCCTCATCCCAAGGCCTACTGGCCTGATGATCAGCCGCCAGGGGGCGCGGCGAACTCAGGCTCAGGTCACTAGAGCCCTGCCCCACACGCCCCAGACTCCAGGCCTTGGACTCTGCTGGCAAGGCCAGAAGGCCAATTGGCTACTGTCAAGGCCCCACATGCCTTTGTCTTCCACAGCAGCTCGCTGCACCCCTGCTAGAGACGACAACCCTTTCCCACAGTCGCTGCCCCTGGTTCTTTCTCCATTGCCCTCCCTGCTCAGCCTTATGGGTACCTGGTGGGGGTGGGGGATGGCTTCTGAGTCACTGCAGTTCCAGCCTCAGGGTGGTGTGGCCTTGGGAAGCTGGTAGTTTGATGTGGGTAGAGCAGGAAAGATAAAAAGGCCCTTCTTCATTAACAGCAGGGAACTAGAACCAGGTCTCTGCCACACACACACCCAGCCGTCCCCATAGCCCAGACTTCTTGGGATGGATGGTCTGGGCCAGCTGCGACCCAATCCTGTAAGATCTTAATGCTGGGATTCTGGGATTCCTAGCTTATGATCCAGAGGAGCTTGAGGCTGGGGTTCAGGAGCTCCAAGTGCTGGGGGATGCAACCTGGGGGAGGGGGCTACTGTGACCACATCAGCGGCAGGAACACTTACATGCCACCATCACAGGATAGGGCACCTGGTGCCAGGTGTACTGCAGCAGCAGCAAAGGTACACGGTCTGGCGCCAGCCCAGGCCCAACCAGCAGCTTGATGTGCGGCAGGCAGATAATACCCGGCGGCCAAGAGCAGCCGCGTGGGAATGTTTGTGATGAGTGTGGCGTGCCCAGTGGGGCTAGGACACCAGGCCCATGTTCACCAGCCAGTGTCAGAGAGTGTGCTTCGCCTCCTCCTGCAGCTCTAGGGCGCTGCTGCTGGGGTAGCGCTCTCCAGCAGACAGCATGGGCAGTGCTAATGGGCCAGCTGGCGGCGGTAGCACACGGCGTGGTCAACCAGTGTGTACAGCTGCGCGGGCCCCGGTCCGCCACCATCCATCCAGAAGGGGTCGTAGAAGGAGGCTGCAGCGGATGCGGTAGCAGCAGCTCCAGGCGCACGTGCTTTGGCTTGGATACGTTCTGGTAGTCGCGGCTAGTCACCTGCTACAGGCTCCCAGGGCGCGCCGCTTATTCCTCTGCGGCCGTCAGGAGCAGCAGTCGGAGCAAAGGGAGGAGGTGGTGCCAGGGGCGCGCTGGAGCTGGGCGTGACTATGCGCCCTTCCTGCCTGCTCTGCGGCGGGGCTTTCTGTAATCGCCTCGGTCCTCTCCTTCCCCTGGGCCTCTGCTATCATCTCAGCTGCTCAGCCTCACCACTGCTGGGAGCTCTTTGCTCTAGTATTAGGACAGCTCTTAAAGAGCCTGCCCCAGGAGGGCTGGGGCTCCCAAGGAAAAGAGGGAGGATAGTGTGTAAGGGATCTCAGGGGCTTTCAGAGTTCAGGCATGCCACATTTGTGAGTCCAGGATTCTGGGAGTCCATGTGTGCATTACTTTCATACAGGGTGCTTTGTGGACCTGTAGCTATCAATGATTATAAAATCCCACCACACGAATCTAGAATCCTACAGTACTGCCCTTCAGTGATCATAAGATTCAACAATTCTAATTTCTGAATTAAATTCTGATAGGTCTGAATTCAGGTTTGGAGAGTGGGTATGATTCCTAATATCTTCAGTGAATCTCTGCTTCCCCAAATTTGGGGATGCTCTGGATCTGGGGTGAGCGACATCAGGCTTTAAGGAAGCACCTCTGAGCACTGGTGAAAATCCCAGGGGCCTGGAGCAGCCAGTTCCAAAGAGTCCCTTTCCTAGCTCCTCAGGCCTTGAATGCAAGTCCTGGCTTCATCAGCATCTCCTCAGACAATTTCCTCTCTTTTACCAGTCTTTTTGACATTCTCACCACTCTCCCAGCTTCTAGAAATACTTCACACACAGTCCCTACTTCCCTCTTCTCTCCCTGAACTTGCAGACTTTTTGCCCCCGCTAGTCCAGTTTACCATCACCCTCCTTGTTGCTAATTCCAATGTCCCTTGCTCCCCAGGTGCTAGCCTCTAACGCTCTGGAAGCATTTGGCCATGTGGCCCCCTCCCAAGAGGCCAGGCCAGACCCCCATGAGTGAATCCATTCACCAAGACCGATTAACCTCCTTGGCTCTTACCTGGACAAGAGGCTCTTAATGGGTCATTAAATCACGCTCTTTCTGTCCATCCCTTTTACCCCAGGCCATAATAAACTAATTACAAAAGGAGCAGGTCATGACCCTGCTCTAGAATTTTCATTAGTTTCCCCATTGCTCTCAGGCTAAAGCCAGACTCTGGACAGGCACATAAGCCATCCAGTCTCCAGCCAGACTGAACCCCTGGACTAAGCTTTGGGAAGCTGATGGGTCTCGGGGTTCTCAGAGCCTGGGGGAGGACTCCTATCTGAAGTCTGCAGAAAATGGATTCATATTCTTGTTTTCTAGCCTGGACACCTCATTCCAGACTAGGAATCCTTTCTGAGCTTGAACTGGAGCAGGGATGGGGGCGGAGTCATCAGGCAGGGCCAGAAGAAATGGGAGTGCCAAGGATGGGCTAGGCCCTGGGCATGGAGGGGTTAACTACAAAGCGAATCTGAGAGAGCGAGATCAATGGGTTTCCCACTGCAGAAAGAAGCAGAAGCAACGCAGAGAGGCAGAAAAGAGCCAGGCAGAAGAGCATGCCACCTGGGGAAAGCAGGGGCTGAGGACGAGGTAGCCATTGGGCACTCCAGAGGGACTGCCCAAGTCCCACTCGGCAGAGGAGGGGCCTTAAAGGAGAAGAGGGAGAGGTGAGAGGCAGACGTCTACCTGCAGGGAGGCATCACAGGGCGGCCACTGAGCCAAGAGGGAGCCTCAGCCTGGCTGGTTCACCCAAGATCAAGCGGGGAACCAGTGTCCAAGGTCAAGGTGGGTGTTGCCCATCCTGCACTTCGGGGGTCTTCTGCATGCTGGGTGCTGGGGGGGGGTATGCAAAGTATCACCTTCCTTCCCTCCCCTCTGCCTGGCCCCCTTGCCCTTAACTTGTCCCCCATCCCAGAGGTCCCAGGCTTCTGGGGGATGCACAGGTAGGAGCCGATGTAGGCTATGAGGTGGGGTGGGAGTGAGGGTGGACACAGCTTGCACAAACGCACACACGCAGGTTGTCAGAGGCACCACCTGTTACAGACTCTCAGATGAGTGCTGTAGCCTGGGAGTCAGAGTACCAGGATGGCAACAGCCCCAGATCTGCCACTCAGTGTGTGATCTTTAGCCTCCCATGTCCCCTCTGAGCCTTGATTTCCTCATGCAGAAAGGGGGCAGTGACCTATATGGTTTCCCCAGCTGTGCCACTGTGGGCTCTCACTAAACGACTCTCCAGTGATGCAGGGGTGTCACCCATGTATTGCTGACCTTGACCCATGTCCAAGAGTCTTCCCTGAGCTTCGGATCCCCATTGAGAAATAAGGAAAATATACAGGCTCCTGGGGTTGGAGTTGCCCTTCCCCTCACCCACCATGTCTTTGCCCCACTCTGCCTGTGTCTTTAGGTGTCCATCAACTCCCTAATCAGCCCTTCACACACTGGGCTATGGGGCTGTTCCCTAGGAAACAGAAACCCACCTCAGACACCAATGTGACTTGTGTCAGGAGCTTGCACAGTGGGTCTCAGTGATAACTTTCAGCTCTGTCCCCCACTCCCACTCTCATGAGCTTCTAGCCCAGGAGACCTAGCCAGGCCCAGGCTGGGGGAACTAGACCCCTGGGTCCAGTGACCAGACCTGGGGGCCACTGCCTGAGGACTCCAGCTTCTCTTCCCCAGGTGACCATCAGATGGGGAGATGGCTGATACCCAGAACATTTCGCTAGACAGCCCAGGGAGTGTGGGGGCCGTGGCAGTGCCTGTGGTCTTTGCCCTTATCTTCCTGCTGGGCACAGTGGGCAACGGGCTGGTGCTGGCGGTGCTGCTGCAGCCCGGCCTGGGTGCCTGGCAGGAGCCAGGCAGCACTACGGATCTGTTCATCCTCAACCTGGCAGTGGCGGACCTCTGCTTCATCCTGTGTTGCGTGCCTTTCCAGGCCGCCATCTACACACTGGACGCCTGGCTCTTTGGGGCCCTTGTCTGTAAGGCTGTGCACCTGCTCATCTACCTCACCATGTATGCCAGCAGCTTCACGCTGGCTGCCGTCTCAGTGGACAGGTGCGCTGTGCCTGGGACCTGGCTGGGTCTGGGCTAGGGAGGGAAGACCTGAACAGATACTCCTTAGCCTTAGGAAAGAGGGAATGGGGGACCAAAAAAGATGAGAGGGAGAAAAGTAACAGGTCTTTGGCCAGCACCATCCAGTCTCTGCGCACCTGCAGGGTGCGTTTGAGGGGACCATCTTGCTCTCCCCTCAACTTCATTGTGAGCTTCCCCAGGACATCTCTGCGTCTCAAGTGTGTCAGCACAGGGCCTGGTACCTAGTACATGCTCTGTGAGTATGAAATGAATGGCAAAAGGAACACACGAATGAATTCAGGTATTTTATTAACGCCCACACCTGGTCCAGGTTGTGGTCATACCTGCTTTCACGGCTTGAGACTTGGGGTCGAATCCAGGCTCACTCTCTAGCTGATGACCTTGGCCAAGTCACTTCTGTCTGTGCCTCCGACCCCGCCTTGCTAGGTGCCAGGCACTGCTCTAAGCGCTTCGTGCATTAGCTCTTTTAATCACCACCATCCCGGGAGGAAGGTCACGCGGTCACCCCCATTGTTCCGACGCAGAAATCAAGGCCACCAGCCCCCAGGTCCCTGGCGCATCGCCTCCGCAGGGGAGCGGATGCGGGCCGGCTGCCCGCCCGCCCGCCCGGCTGACCCAGTGCCCGCCCGCAGGTACCTGGCCGTGCGGCACCCGCTGCGCTCGCGGGCCCTGCGCACTCCCCGCAACGCCCGCGCCGCCGTGGGCCTGGTCTGGCTGCTGGCGGCGCTCTTCTCAGCGCCCTACCTCAGCTACTACGACACGGTGCGCTACGGCGCGCTCGAGCTCTGCGTGCCCGCTTGGGAGGACGCGAACCGGCGCGCCCTCGATGTGGCCACCTTCGCCGCCGGCTACCTGCTGCCCGTGGCTGTGGTGAGCCTGGCCTACGCGCGCACGCTGCGCTTCCTATGGGCGGCCGTGGGCCCCGCGGGCGCGGCAGCGGCAGCGGCCCGGCGCAGGGCCACGGGCCGCGCGGGGCGCGCCATGTTGGCGGTGGCAGCGGTCTACGCGCTCTGCTGGGGCCCGCACCATGCGGTCATCCTCTGCTTCTGGTACGGCCGCTTCGCGTTCAGCCCGGCCACCTACGCCTGCCGCCTGGCCTCGCACTGCCTGGCCTACGCCAACTCCTGCCTCAACCCGCTGGTCTACGCGCTCGCCTCGCGCCACTTCCGCGCGCGCCTCCGCCGCCTGTGGCCCTGCGGCCGCCGCCGCCGCCGCCACCGCGCCTGCTGCCCCCCGGGAGCCCGCCGCGCCCTGCGTCGCATCCACCCGGCGTCCTCGAACCCTGCGGGCTGCCCCGGGGACGCACGGCCTCGCGGGAGGCTGCCGGCCGGGGGCGACGGCGGCGGCTGGGGCAGGGAGCCCGGGGAGGAGCCTGCCCACGCCGGGAAGGCTGGACCAGCCCTGTCTGCCCGAGGACCGGAATAAACCTTGTCCGCCTCCACTCTGCTCGGTGTCAGTCTGTCTGTCATTCCACTTCCCTAAGGGCAGGACGCTACGAGGGTGTGGGGCCAACTGGGAGGAGCAGTGGCTGAGATGGGGCTTCAGCGCGGAGGACACCCCTGGACGGTGAAAATGGGTCGGTACAGCTTAGCGCAGCCTCCTAGGCGGGCAGCCCCCAGACTCTCGGTAGCCGGCCTAGCAGGAGGGCAGGCCCTCTGCCCATCCCTCCGGCTCCATCAGCAACTCCTGAGACCTGCTTCCTCCACCGCGCTTCACCAAGCCCCTTCTCCCTTTCAAGCCCTGTCCTGGGTTCTTTAATAGTAGCAACTAATATAGCAGATATTTATTAAGCACTTGCTATGTATTTTATGCGGAGCTACATTCTTCAATCTAATTATCAAAAACAGCTTTGCAAGGTCAATCTAATTTGTTCCATTTTACAGATGAAGAAATCAAGAATCAGAGAAGTTTAGTGATTTGCCCAAGGTCCCATAACTAGTGTTTGGCAGAGGTTGGATCCAAACCCACTGCTGTCTAACGTTTTCTATTCAGTGGAACCTCCATCTCCACCTCTGGGGCCTCTGCCTTCAGTTCCCATAGTTTCCAAGGTTTGTCTTGGTTCTTCCTGATTCTGCATCAGCCCTCTTCCCCAAACCCACAGCTTCCACACCCAACTGAATGCTCTGGAAACTTCAGAGAACTCCCAGGTCCCTTAGGAAAGTTCTATTCAGGTACGCAGGCCAGTGGGCCCTGATGGGCTTCTAGTCCTAGGCCTGACCCAAGCCCCTTGCACCATTCCTCAGCCATTTAGTGCTCCTGGCTCAGGAGAGACACTGAGCCACACTCGGGCCCCAGCTGGCCTCCCAGCAGCCCTGGCTGCCCTGAGGTCCCCTCCCTCCCTGTACCTGCACACAGCTGGGGTAGTCTGTGGCTGCGGAAACCTCCTAATTAACCAATAAATCAGTCTCAGTGGTTGCAGAGCTGCCTACTTCCCTCCCTTCCTCACCACACGCCAATAATGTTTATTAGCTTCTGGCTGAGGCCTGAGACCTTTCGGCCTCTGTGTCTCCCCAGCACACCTCTTGGTTGTTGGGCACCCTGGGAAGGCCCGTCCCTGACAGTAGGCAGCTGCCGAGGCCTCATCATTGCCTGCCACCTGCCACAGACCCAGGGATCAGAATGGCAATCACCCTTCACAGGGGGAGGCTGTGACCCAGCTGGGAGAAGCAACTGCTACAAGGGCCCCCACAGGGGCCTGACACCTGGTCCAGTGTTCTTTCTCCCATGTCTCTGCCAAGGTTTCCATAGCTGACTCAGGCTGCAGCAGTAGAAGTGTTCCCCGGAGGGCAGGGGTGTGTGATGCTGCCCGCTTCCCCAGCATCCAGCGAGACCTCTATCTCCCTGCGGCCACACTCACACCCCCACTGGCTCATCCGGGCCTCATGCCAACCCTGGCAAGCAAGGAATATTACCTCCATTCTCAGAAGCAAAAACTAAGCCTCAAGGAGGTGAGGTAGCTTGACCAGAACCACGTGGCAAATTCAGGGCAGAGCTGGGATCCTAACTGGGCTTCAGGGATGGCTCTCACAGCAGCCCGTGCAGCACTGAGAAAACATCTAAGAGAATTTGACAAAGTTCTCTGCACAACAATGGTGAGTGCCTGCAAAGTAGAAGAGAACAAAATCTGCTGGGATTGGCTTATGCTATGGTCTGTCCGGCTTCCCAGCTAGGCTGCTGTTCCTCCACAGCCGCCTCTGTGGGCATGGACAGGTGACTGACTAGGAACGGCCTCCCTCTAGGATGGACAGGAGACAAGCTCACCCAGCCAGGGAGTAGTAGAGCCAGAGTTTGAACCTGCATGAAACCCCAGGGCCCGGAGAGAGGGTTGGTCAGTGGAAGTCCTCCACAGAGACCTGGGTCTCTGCTCACCTGGTAAAGGGACAGTTGTACAGCCCAGGCCTCTGGCTGGACTCCTAGGCCTCCTACTTCATCTTCCTACAAAGCAGGTCTCTCTGGCCCATCAATACCAATTAAGTACCCGAGGTTTCCTATTAATGAATATCAGTTCCTCAGCCCTGACGCTGGGCTCATTTGCAGGCTGCCAGCTGGATCCAAGATGGCCTCCACTGTCTCCTGCAGGAAAGATAAAGAAGCCCAAAGGCCCTGATTAACGGAGGACAGTATAGCCTGGCCCAGAGTAGGCACACAGCAGATATTTGATACATGAGAACAGAGGTGCCAGGGAAGGAGAGACATGACACTTCCCTTTGTTCTTTTCTCTATCTCCCACCCCCACCCCGCCCCAACAGTTGAGTTCCTTCCCTAAGCTAGGCCTTGCAGGGGAGACAGACATGGCATGAGTTTGACCTGGTCTCCCCCTTTCAGAAGCTCTCAGTCCAGCTGGAGAGCCAAATACCAAAGGAAGAAAGGATAGCACCGTGTGAAGGGACCGTAACAGAACAGCACACAGTTTGGAAAGGGCACGGAGGAAGACACTCCTGCCCTCCTGGGCGATCCAAGCAGGCATCCCAGAGAAGGTAACATTTAATATGTATTTTCCTGTGCCATTTACCTGTGCCAAGGCAGGTGCGGGTAAGAGCAATAAGTGGGCTCGTGCTGTTGAAGCAGGCCGGGAGGGTAGGTGCGCTTGAGATCACAAGGGCCTCCTAAGCCAGCTGGGAAGCAGGAACTTCCTCCTTCAGGCAGGTGGTGATACCACTGAAGGTTTTCAGGAGGGGAGGGGCCCCATCAGACGTGTGGTCAGAAAGCCCCCAGAGTTGCTGTGCGGAGGCTGGGTTGGAAGTGCCAGGCTGGCAGCGAGGAGCCCGATCCAGAGGCTGCGGTGAGCCCTTGGCCAGGAAAGCCACAACCAAGGGCCTGGCCTGGGGCTGGGAAACGATTTTTGCTATGGATTTGGCAGGAAGATTGATGGCCTACTGCTGGGCTTGGGCTTGGCCCCAGAAGCTCCTGGGTCTGCTTCAGGGGGCTAATGAAATGCTTGGAAGAGCAGATGGTCGTTAGTGCAGCAGGTCCTCGAATAAAGTCGTTTTGTTCAATGTCATTTCGTTGATTATAATGTTGATGACATGTCATAGGAACTTAACTATTGTTTACATAAATTAGTCTATACTAAAACTGGTTTCATTATATGTCATTTTGCTTAAAGTCACAGAACCTATCGACGATTTTAGGTGAGAACTAACTGTACTTTGGTTAGGAAGAGATGAGTTCTGTAGGGCCAGAGGCGGGAACGGAGCCTGGAGTAGAGGCTGAATGAGCCTGGGCTGCTGTCCTCAGGGCCCAGGAGAGCTCACTTGACCTGAGCCCCCTGCAAGGTCTCAGGCTGGCCTGGGGCAGCCTGGGGTCCTGAGAAGGAACCCCACTTAATTGGAGGAAGGTTTAGATTCTTCAACCCTTTCACCGTCTCATTCGTGCGAACCTCTTAGGGATAGGCCTATAGCATTCATGTCTGAGCACCTGGTAGGTACAGGGTTCTCCTGCAGGAAAGAAAGAGGCACGAGGGATTGTGGGAGCCCAGAAGAGAGCCCTCAGCCTGCTTGGAGAGGCAGAGACAACTTCTGGAGGAGCTGGTGCCTAGGCCAAGTCCTGAAGTGGAAGTTAATCAGGGCAGATGGGGAAGGGAGGCATAGAACATGGGCACGGGCTGCCTGGAGCCAGGCACAGCACGATGCATAGGGGGGCCTGGAACAGGGCACATGGGAGCCACAGCAGGAAGTGGGGTGGAAGAGGAGGCGGCATTCACAAAGGATTCTGTATTTCTGTCTGAAATTGAGGGTGTACTTGGTCCTGAGGGCAATGGGGAGCCACTGAAAGGTTTTAAATAAAAGAACAGCCTGATCAAATTTACTCTTCAGGGAACTTTTTACGGCTGCAAGGCAGGCTTTCCTGGGGAGGGAGAGCCATTAGGAGGCTGGTGTGGGAACCCAGAGATGAAGGTATCCAAGATGCTGGTAGTGGGGAGATGTGAGGAGACGTGGACAGATGGGACAGCCACTTAGGAGGTACAGTTGTCGGGACTTAGTGATTAAACATTGTTGGGGAAGAAGAGAGAGGTTCCAGATGACTCCCCAGACTTCTGTCTTGGGCTACTGGGGATGCCAGTGGGGATGACAGGGGTCAGGTTTGAGGGGGACGATGTTGAGCTCGGTTGGAACATGTTGAGACTAAGGGACCTGTGGGACATGGTGAGTGGTGTCCACAGGGCCCTGGTGCACTGGGCACCTACCACCTTTCAGGCCTGTGCTTGGCCTGGAATGTGTGTCTCATCTGCTTTAGAGTTTGAAGATGAAGAAACTGAGGCTCAGAGAAATTAACTTGTGCAAGACCACAGAGTTAGCCAGAAACAGAGCTGGGGTCTTCAGCTCATGTTTGTCTGATTTTGGTTAAGAGAAGAGACAGAAAGGAGTTGGTTGAAGGGGAGGGAGGAACTAAAACTCAGCCCTGGGGAGGGCAGGTGAGGTGAGGGCCCTGGCACGACTACATTCACCAACTCCTCTCCCTGCCTAAGGCTGGCAGGCTCAGCATCATCTATCAACTTCGAGGTGTGTACCTGGGGACATCAATACTAATTAAGTACCCGAGGTTTCCTATTAATGAACATCAGTTCCTCAGCCCTGATGCTGGGCTCATTTGCAAGCTGCCAGCTGGATCCAAGATGGCCTGAGGCCAGGGGGCTGGGCTGTGCAGGCTGGGATTGTTTCTGGTGTAACAGGACAAGACTGATTTATTGAGGCATCTGCTTGGTGCCAGTGGCCCAGGCTCTATGGAGGGGTGAGACTGAAGCAGGACGAAGGGTGATGAGGAGGGGTTGATGGGAAGGTGCCAGCTTGGAGTACCTGGGGGTGCTCTGGACGGTGGTTGTACAGAGGAGGGTGCTGGCCTGTGCATTGGTGGACCTGCCAGGTCAACTCGGAGAGGTGACATCGTGCAGGGGTCAAGATGTGGACTTTGAGTTGAGTTGGAATCCTGGCTCCTGCACTTCTGAGCTCTGACCTCTCTGTGCCTCAGCCACCTGCAGATCTGAGCTCTGTCTGAGCTGAGTCCCACTGGAGGGAGGCAAACCGCATTACGTTGTTCACTGGCTGCTGCCAGCCATAGGTGATGTTTCAAGGGCTCCCCCAGGGCAGATCCTGGTCTCCATCCAAACTCTCACAATCCAGCTGAGAAAGCGTGGACTCACCCGCTTCTGTCCCCTGAGCGTGCTGACCGCCATGTGCTTCTGTAGCACGTGCTATTCTTCCGGGCTCCCAAAGTGGGAAAGCCACCAGGTTGGTGTGGGCCAGTCATAGGGACAAGATAATGCTCTGGTCCCTGGTCTGGGGTTTGGGGCAGGACTCCTTTGCTTCCCTGAGCCTGTTTCCTCATCTGTAAAGTGAGCTGACCATCTCTCTCTGCAGGGACTGAGGCCTTGTGTCAGCTGGCCAGCCAGCATCAGGGGGTTTGGGCGCCATAGCTGGGGGGAGCCAGGGACTTCTTTGGGATTGCCCAGGAATCAGTCCAGTTTCTTTTTCTTCTTTTCAAAGATTTTATTGGGGAATTGGGGAAGGGAAACAGCATTGGGGAATCAGGGAAGGAGAACAGACAAGTTGCTGTCCTTTTTGTTCTTCAATCTAGTTGTGGAGGACGTCGCTTCACTGGCCCATGTTGGTATTATCATTGCGCTCTTCCCGGGTGAGGCAGTCACTTGCTGGACATTGGACGGCCACTCATGGTGGCTCATGGCAGCTCATGAAAGCACACACCCGCTGCCAGCCAGCCTCACTGCAGCCTACGCCATCGCTGGTGACTCACGGCAGCCCAGCTCCAGGTCGAGCTGTTGTTCACCATCTTAGCTGTAGAGGGCGCAGCATCACTGGCCCTCATGTGGGATCCAAACTGGGGCCCTGCTGCTAAGAGCTGGCATCCCAAGCCAACTCTCAACCAATGTGCCACTCGCCCGGCCCTCAGTCCATTTTCTTGAACTCCTGTGACGTGGGCTCAGCATCTGAAGCAGCCTGTGGAGCAGGTAGCAGGTAGCCCTGCGGGGAAAGGGGCTTTCTCCCAAGGGGGATTTTCTCTCAGAGCTCATGGTGCCTGCTCTGGATAAGGATGCATCCAATCTCCAGGTGGAGGTGACAATCTGCCTCACCTGGTTTCTGCCACCAGAGCAGGTCTTCAGACCTCATGACCTCTGCAAACTGGTCCCATCTCCTCTCTTGTCAGTCTTTCACCCTCCTGGTCCCACAGCCAGCTCTCTGACCATCTTGGAAGGCCTGTAATAGTGGAGGCAGCCACCAAAGATCAAGGACCACTCCAGACTCAGCTCAGGCCCATTGCCTCGTGCTATCCCCAGTGGTCATGTGCATGCCTTGTCTACCAAGCACATTATATCCTGTGCTAAGTGGGGAAAGGGCCAGACCCTCCTGCACCCAAGGCTGGTCACGGAGACAGAGACCCACTCAGTAAGGCCTGTCAGTTCCTACCAACTGGGTCCCAGGGGCACTGGGGACACTGGCACTTTAAAAAAAAAAAAGATTTTACTGGGGAATTGTGGAAGGGGAACAGTTGGGGAATTGGGAAAGGGAAACAGCCAAGTTGTTGTCCTTCAGTCTTAGTTGTGGAGGGTGCAGCTAGCTCAGCTCCAAGTCCAGTTGCCACCTGGCCACCCATTGGAAGCTTGCGGCCGCTCAGCTCAATGTGCCGTGTTCAATCTTAGTTGCGGGTGGGCATAGCACACCATCCCATGCGGGAGTCGAACTGGCAACCTTGTTGTTAGGACCACGTGCTCTCCTGCCACCTGTTGGCAGCTCAGCAGCAGCTCAACTCTGGTGCAGCTCACTGGCCTTTGTGGAAATTGAACTAGCAACCCTGTTGCTCAGAGCTTGCACTCTTAAACAACTGGGCCACTTGGCCAGCCCGACACTGGCACTTTGGAAACCTTGGCAGAGATTACACTAGACCTGGGCTGGGTCCCATGCACCTGACCTGAAGCAACTTACTTTCTCTTTTTGAGCCTCAATTTGCTGCATCTATAAAATAGTGAGAGCAATAACGTTGGCTACCTAACATTTTCTTGCAACCACTAAATCAAAGGGTTTGTATGAAGGGCCTGCCAGCACATAGTAAGAGTTCAGCAAATGTTGCCGCCCTCCATTTTAGGAAACTCCTTCTGAAAGAGCTCTAATTTTAGGCCTGCTGGAAACCACAGGAGCTTGGAGGTGGATCCAGGTTCCAGCCCAGCTGCCTGGTGGGGTCATCCAGGCAAACCTGCATTTTCTCACCTATCAAAGGCAGCAGCAAGTCCAATTGTCTCACAGGATGGTTGGGAGCACTTGTATCTTCTCTGAGCACTTCCCACCATTTGCCATGGGCCATGACAGGGAGTTTGTCCTTGTGTTCACTGCTGTGTTCCCACCTTAGTACATTGCCTTGTGCACAGCAAGTGCTCAGTATTTCTTTCTCTTTTTTTCTTTAGAGAATACTTCATTAGTTTCTAATCAAACCCATGTAGATAAGACCTTACATATTTAATACAGTGCGTTACCATTGCACAAATGGAAAAAATGATGTTTAACGTTTCTAGACAATATGACTGTTAATTTCTAGTACGTATTTCTAACATGAACAAATGTGAGGTATAAAGCAAAGGACCCTCCCCAGAAAGTGAAATCAGCAGATGTGGATTTTTTCTTCCTGCCCCCCACCGCCACCCCCTCCCTGCTTCCCCCACTAATCCAGTAACTCCAGAGCAGCTAGTAACAGAACTAACTCCTGGCAGGTATCCTCTGCTGACTCTCCCTCCCGCCCCCTGCCCAGCCCAGCCAGCTTATAGCCCACTTGTGTGTTTTCTGACTCACTCCAATGTCTAGGGCTGACCTGAACTGGCTGGCTCTTCAGACAGATATGGGGCTGCAGGATAAATCCTGGCTGAAAATGAGGTGAGGCGGATTGGCTGGCTGCCTCACTGTCTGGCAAATGTTTGATGACTGGGCTGTACAAGCCACCTTCATCTGTCAAGCCCTTTGTTCGCTGTCCACATGGCCGGGGAGGGAGTTGACAAGTGTCCCTTTCACTTGCCCCAGCAGTCTGTTTTCATGGTTACACGGCTACAGAGCCAGGGGTGGGTGGGTGAGGCACCGCCAGGATGGAGGGCCCAGGTGGGAACCCGTCAGTCCAGGCCAAGGGCTTGTTAGGACTGAGCGGGTGAGTTTCTGTGCCAGGACATCCGGAAACACAGGCAGTCATCTCAACGCAGCTTCACAAAGTCCTAGCAAGCCACCATTTCTCAGCCCTGCCAGTGCAAAGCAGCCTGCCCTTGGGATAACGGGTCCAGAAGGGCCCAGGCAGTCCCCAGGAGGCCCTTAGCAGACCCCTCACCTATCTGCCCCCCAAGTTCTAGAGCAAGAGTTCCTAACCTTTTCTGTGTGGACCCTTCTGAGAATAAAAGTTATGCACCCTTTTCTCACAAACATACATGCACACTCTCTACACAAAATTTTATATCATTTCAGGGGTTCATGCCTCTTTAAGGGCCCATGAACTGAACCCCTTAGACCTGAGGTTGAGAAATCTTACCTCAACTCCCTCCAGGGTGATTGGCCCTGGCCCTGGGGGGGGTGTTGGCCCAGAGAAGCTGGTTTCAAGGGAAGGGGCCCACCTGTTTGATGTCCACTCTCTCTCGCCCCTGCCTCTTCCCTGCCCACCCCAGCCCTGGGGCCATGGGCTAAGGGGGGCTGTGTGCAGGCACCAAGCCCCAGCACAGCCCCTATGGGAGGGCGAGCCCAAACGTGCCTCCCGCACTGAGTGGGCAAGGGTTAATAACATGGACAGAAAGGGAGAAAAGCCACCCATCCACTCACTCGTTCCTCACCTCACTCTGCTCACTCTGTTTCTCACCGCATTTGCTCATCTCTGCTCCTCACCTCACTCACTCACTCACCTCACTCCTTACCTCACCCCACACACAGCCAGCTGGCAGCCACCGCACGTTCCCTGGAAACACGACTGCTTTGTCTTCCCCTCTCTCCGTCTTGGGGCCACCCCAACACTTCCCCTTCCTCAACCCTGCAGACCTGGCGGGCCTTTGGGCGTCCCTTCTCACACGGTCCTGGAGGCAGCCTGGGCCTGTGTCTCATACCTATAGGGAGACCCTTTTTTCTTCAGGGTATGGGGAGCAGCTGGTTTTCGTAAGTTTAATTCACATCAGGTTGGGATTTGGGGACAAGCTCCCCTCCTCTGAAAAGTAGCCAGGATCTCAATTTGGTGAGGGAAAGTGGGCAGAGCCACAGTGGACACGGCTGATGACCGGAACAAGTCTGCCTTTACTCTGGTTAAATGCCTCCTCAGGGAGGGGCTAGGCCAGGCAGCACCTTCTCTTCAGACGCCCTCGGTGGCAGAGCCCTGCATGAGGGGCCGCTGCCTTTTGTGTGTCCATGGCCCACAACAAAGGGAAGGTCTGCCCCTGTGCGGGTGGGAGTGGGTGCCTCCTTTCCAGTGAGCGCTGAGCCCCCTCCAGTACATTAGTCTACGTTGATGCTGCAACAAATTACCACAGACTTAGTGGCTTAAAACACAAATTTATTCTCTTACAGTTCTGACGGTCAGAATTCCAAAATCAGTCTGACTGGGCAAAAGCCAAGGTGTCAGCAGTGCTGGCTCCTTCTGGGGACTCTGACGGGACAGTCCATTTCCTGGCCTTTTCTAGCTTCTGGAGGCCGCCTGCGTTCCTTGGCTTGTGACCCCTTCCTCGCATTGCTCCAACTCCTCGCTTCCGTCACCGTATCTCTACTTCCTGTCTCATCTCCCACTTCCCTCTTATGAAGGATGCCTGTGATTACATCAGGCCACCCGGAGAATCCAGGATAATGGCCTTGTCCAAAAGTCCTTAACTTATTATAGCTGCAAAGTCCCTTTTGCCATGAGGTCACATTCACAGGTTCCTGGGATTAGAACATGTACATCGTGGGGACCACTCCAGTCTCCCACAGCGAGGCTGCAGGACTGCTATGCCCTCCTGGTGTTTCAGTGATTGGGAGGAAAAGGCTTTTGGAGGCTTTCAGCTTTGGGTTCAGCAGAGTCCTTCCTAACCTTGTACTTCTAAGGTCTGAGCTTCACCAATCCTCCCCTGCCAACCAGAGAAACTCACTGCGGTATCTCCTTGAAAGTCAGGTGCCAAGTCTAAATCTAAGTGCTGGTGAGAGGTGCAGAGCCAGCCAAGAAGCCCCCTAGGCTTGAGGGTGCCTGCCCAAAGTCCACCCCCTGCTGGCTGCAACAAGCCCATGGTCGGGAAGGGACACAGAAAGGGTGTGGGGCCTGCTAAGGGTGCCAGGGCGGCCATGGGACACGTGAGGCCTGCTAGAACAGCGCATGACAGCCAGAGCTGAGGTGTGGCTACACTGTGAGGGGAGTCAGAGGAAGAAGCTGGGGGCTATGGTCCCAGCCCACAAAGCCGGCAGAAACCGCGGCTGGAAGAGGCTCTGAGGTCGGTGGGGTAGCATCTCTGGCCTCTGGGGGCGGGGGCGAGGGACTCCCAGGCAAGTGCAGCTCCACAGTCCCAGGCATCAGGCTTTTCTTTGTAATGAGACAGCAGGTGGGCAGGGAGGGCAGGGGCAGGGCAGGAAGGCAGGGAGCCCCTCTTGCTACCTCTTCTCCATGTTCTGCATCTGCAAGCTGAGGGAGGTGAAGCTGGCCAGGAGGTCGGTCACCTCATCCACCTGCAGAACAAAATAAGGCTCTGTCACGGGATGCCAGGACAGGCCCAGGTGCCTGGGCCCCCGGGTCTCCTTCCTAATTCCACAGCCTGGAGGGCAGGCTTTGTCTGTCTTCCCAGGGCATGTGGTGGCTTCACTGTGACTAGGGGAACAGGTGTCCAAGGGTTAATCCCCGACACCAGATGGTCTCAGGCTGCCCCAGAGAGAAGCTCCATGAGCAACTTCAAAGGAAGTGGGCAGAGGCTCTGAGGCCCACAGTGGGCTACAACCCATAGCCACGGCCTCTTTCTAGTGGGAGTCTGGCTGCCTCGGAGCGGGAACACACGGGCCCTGTGGCTCCTGCCACGCCCTGGGTCTGGACCTGCAGCTGCAGCTGACCTGCTCTCTGGTGCTTGTCATCTGGAGGCGGGTGCACAGGTCATCCAGTCGTTCCCGCTGCTCATGCCGCCCTAGGCGCTCCAAGTACTCCCTCAGCATCTGGATGATCTGAAACGAGGGGTGGGCTGAGCTGCAGGGGGTCCCAGCTCGCAGGCACATGAGGCCTGATACAGCTGCTAAGAGGCCCAGTGGAACAGGAGCCAACCTGGGTCAGTGTGAAGTGACCCAGGAGCCCTGGTGCTGGAGGCGGGGTGTCTGTGATGAGGGCAGCACCTGTCTGGTGCTTGTTCAGTGCCATGGGCTCAGCATGAGGGACACTCACTCACCTGCTTCACTTCCAGCCGCACGGCCTCCAGGCACTGGGAGTGGCCTTCCTGCAGGATGTTCAGCTTCGACTTGGCCAGGTGCAGGGGTGTGCGGCCAGCTCGGTCCAGGGCATCTACGCGGGCCCCTGCGGGAGCAGGCAGGGGTGAGCATGCAGGGGATGAGGGTGAAAGGGGCAGGGGAAGGGGAAGGGACCACATACCTCCTCGTAGCAGTGTGGTGATGACAGGGACATGGTTGGTACAGGCCGCTGAGGAAGAAGAACAGAGACTTGAGAAGAAGAATAGGGCTTGGCCCTGTGTGCCCGCTGGAGGGAGCAGGGCTGTGTCTCCGAGTGTGCCTGCATCAGGTCATGCCTCCTGAGAGGGCGTCACCAAGGCAGCAACGGGGTGGGATTCAGCAATCAAGTCCAGCTCCCTCCAGCACCGCTGGGGAAACTGAGGCTTGGTGATGGGACCTGCCTCACCATGACCCACAGTGTGAGTCAGCCACAGGGCAGGAACCAGCCGCAGGTCTCACCTCCCCTAGCAGAGCTGCTGCTGAACCAGTTTAGGGTACAGCCGACTAGTGATCTATGGGGGAGTCCATGGGACACGGACTGGGCAGGTGCAACCCTGGGGGCTCAGGCTCTCCCCAGATGACAGGAGATCCTGCTGGGAACCTGCAGGACCCCAGGCTCTCTATCAAAGGAGCGTGTCTGTGCTACACAGAAGGGTGTTTTGGCAGCTTTTCAGGCATTTACCCAGGTGCAGTGGTGTGTTCCCCAGCCCGTCTCGCTGGTTGGGATCAGCCCCATGGTCCAGGAGCAGCTGCACTGGAAACAGGAAAACACGACAGTAACTGTCAGAAGCTTCTGTGACCTGGATCCTAACCCCAACCCCTCACCTAGCTAAAGAGGCTCATTCAGAGCGTGGACACTGAAATCAAACACGGTTCCCTATGTTGTTTCTTTCACTCACTCACTCACTCACTCACTCACTCACAGGGTTCATAGGCAGGACTGTGAAGGCCAGGAAATGCGATTCTGGGAGGACCTCCTGGCCTATACAGGTGTTATGGGACTGAGATTTTGAAGGTGAAAAAAGGTACTTCCAACAGCAGTGGCCATTAGTGAAGGTTCTCAAGGGCATTTTCTGCTCCTTTCACAGCCAAGCACCATAGTGGGAATTAGGCCAATAGATGATGCTGAGTACCCCCTCCTTGGGAGTCTCTAGGCCACCTCAAGGGTGGGCTGTGGTATCGCCAGGGGCTCATCTATTACCCAGATGGAAGTGCAGGCAGACTGACTTCTACTGAGAGCCAGGCTGAGCTCCACACCATATACAGAAACTAATTCAAGAGGGGCCACAGATCTCAATGTGAAAGCTCAGTCAGGCTCGTAGAAGAAAACAGGAGAATACCTTCATGATCTTTATGACCTATAACATTGCTAACCATAGAAAAGACTGATAAATTAAGTTCATTAAAATTAAGAGCTTGTATTCATCAAAAGACATCATTCAGAGAACAAAAAGGCAAACTCAGAAAAGGTAACTCATTTATATTAGATAAATGATATGTAACCAGCATATATAATTTCTACAAATCATTAAAAAGATCGGCAACTTGTTAAAAAAAAATGGACAAAAAATCCTGAATGCATAGTCCACAAAAGAGGATCTAAAAATGGCCAATAAATACATGAAGATGTGCTCAACTTTACTTGCTGTCAGAGAAATGCAAACTAAACCACAATAAGACACCACTGAATAGCTAAAATTAAAAGGAAGCAATACCAATCATTGGCAAGGATGTGGAAATAGGTGGACCTCGCTTACGTTGCTGGTGGGAGTGTATATTGGTATAACCACCTTGGAAGAAGTTTCGAGCACCTATTAAAGCTAAATGCCTAATGGATAAGGCATTGGACCCCTAAAGCTAAATATATGTGGACCCAGGGACCCACAATTCCACTGCTGGGGTTTATATCTAACATAGATCAGTGCTTATATCCACCAAGCCACATGTATAAGAATGTCCATAGCAACTTTGTTCATAATAGCCCAAACCTGGAAACAACAGAAAAGCCCATTAATAGTAGAATGGGAGAATTGTGATACATCACACGACGAAATATTATCCAAGTAATAAGAAAGAACAAACATTCAAACACAATATTCAGCAATGAATCTCAAGGATATAATTTTGAGTGAAAGAAGTCAAGATATAAAAGACTGCATACTCTAGGCTTCCATTTATGTAAAATTCAAAAACGGGCAAAACTATACTCTGTGGTGAACAAGGTCCTCCTGGGGGTACGGACTGGGCAGGGCAGTCCGGCTGTGTGGTGCTGAAAATACTTTGTCTTGACCCACATGGTAGTTACACCGGTGTATACACACTGCAAGTTCACTGTTTATGAAGTTATACCACACCCACAAAAAGACTCAAAAGAAAAAAACCCAGCTGTCCCACTGCTGCCCTTGGCACTGAGTACATGTGGCCTGAAGGTCTTAAAGGACTGGCCCCGACCTCAGAGCCAATCATAGTCTTTCCCCAGGTTTACTTCTTCCCTGGTCGGGCAGTGCCAGTTCCACAGGCTAAAGGAGTGAGAGGACCGGGCACCACCTTGTTGGGTCTTCCTTACATCCAGCACCCCTGGCTGCGCAGACGGCAGATCTTCCCCCAGCACCTCTGGAGAGAAGCTACTGCCCAGCCCCACCCCCTCCTCCTTGTCCAGAACTCACCGATCTGGTCATTGCCATTGCAGGAGGCAAAGTGTAGAGCTGTGCGTCCCTTGTCATCAGCTGCACAGGGATCCGCGCCATCTTCCAGCAGCTGCTGCACTGACACCACCAAGACAGAGGGAAGCAGGGGGTGAGAGTGACAATGTTAGCTAAGCTGCAGTCCCCGGGGAATGGAGAGGGCTGCTCAGGGGTCCCTCCAGGCAAGGCATGGAGAGCTAGTCCCTCCTGGATGCTTACCCCATGGGGACTGCCATGACAAGGGACTTGTTCTGAGGGCACAACTGAGGGCCCCGGTTTCTGGGTGCTCAAACTACGTGTCTAGTGATAGAACATCATAGAAGGATCCTGGCCCTCAGTGTCAGGAACTCTAGAGTCACAGAAATTCCCAGCATAGACTTTGGCCCCATCACTCTACCTGAGTTTGGATACACATCCACTCCAGCTGGACACAGCTGCCCAAGCTGTTGGCAGATGATTACTTTGCTCCCAGGAGGCAGCCCTTTATTTATTTACTTATTAAATTTTATTGGGGACTAGCCACGGTCATTGGTTGCACAGTGCTTTCATGCTACAATGGCACAGTTGACTCTTAAGGAGGGCGCAGCTCACAGTGGCCAATGTGGGGATTGAATTGGCAACCTTGGTGTTATCAGCGCCACACTCTAACCAGCTGAGCTAACCAGTCACCCCCTAGGCAGCCCTTTAGAGTGGGCAGAGCATAGGTCTGGAGCCACAGAGACTAAATCCTGGGCTAAGTTAAGCAAAAAAGAAAGGGGTACATTACCAACAGCATGGGGTAGTAAAAAGAGCTGGCTGGGAATAGGAAGGCCTGGATTTGGGTCCCAATTCACCAGTAAATGGGAGTAATCTTTGCCCTGCCAATCTCCAGAGCTGTCGTAATGAGAATAATGGATGTGAAATTCCTTCTTTGAAAAATATGAAGCCATTATAAAATGACATTGTGAATTACATGTACATGTCCAGCAGAAATGTAGAAATTGCTGCCAAACATCATTTTAGAGCAAGCAACATTTCTGTCTGTCCCAGAAAACCTCTCAAGGACTTGAGTCACTCCAGACAAAGCCCAGATATCTCCCCCTCCATGAATCCTTCCTGTCTCCTCAAGCTGAGTTAGCCATGCCCTCTCCCACATCTCCTTAGTGCCCTGTTCATCCTGCTACCCTAGTATTAACATGCTATGCTATTTCAGAGTAATTGCTACTGTACACTGAGCACCAGCCAGGAATCAGATACCTGACTGCTAAGCCCCTCGGCCACCCAGCAAGGCATCACGTCCATTTTACAGACAGAAGACTCCAGCCCAGAGCAATCATGTGGCATGCCGAAACCACACTCACCCAGCTAAAGGGAGGCCAAGCTGGGATACAAACCCAGGTTTCTCTGGTTCCAGAACTTATACCTCTCCAACTGATCACTTAAGTTCAATTTTTCAGGGAGATTTGTCTTGGAAATGGTATCACTTTATATTGTTCTACTTCAACTATATTGTAGGTTTTTTGTTTATCTTTTTTTTTTTTTTAAATATTTTTATTGGGGAATTGGGGGATGGGAACAGCACTGGGGAATTGGGGGAAGGGGTACAGACAAG